AAGCGATTCTTAGTGCCTACCAGTTCCAGGTACTGTAGTCAGAGTGTCAAAGAGCTTGGGGAATGAATTCTATTTTTGTGGTCACTGGGGATTGGTCTAGTTTCCTTTGTTTGCTTTCTAACTTTTCCTGGAGCAAGGGTTGTCTCTGAGCCTTGTAACCTTCCTCTTTCACTAAAGTCTGGGCAACAGAATGATGTAATTCATTGAAACTAAGGAGACAGAGTGAAGGTGTCAGAATGTATCCTTGACAGAGAGGGAGGTAATGTGCCTTCTGCTTTTCCATCCTTAGGTGCAAGAACCACATTGTGTGTTTTCAGATAAGGAGAGCTTTGTGCCCCTCATTCGGTCACAGTGTCCCAGGGATTTGATCACCTGGGCATAAATCCTGTTTTTGCTAAATAAATTCAATCTTGGGCTGTTTATACAACAACTTGACAATTATCCAATCACCATATTAATAACTGTTTCTTAAGGATTTGGGGGAAGATTAAATGAAAACACAGGAAATGTGCCTTGATTTATGATACTAAATACTAACTGTAATTATTAATTATGCAAGGTCATTAGAGCCCAACATATCTTCTCCAAGTTGTGGTTCAGGTTTGAAGCATCCCTTCCACAGATGCTTCATACGCAGAAGGTTTGGTCCTTCCCTAATGGCCATAATAAGAGATGATGGTATCACAGGATCTAGCCTCATCATTTGTAAATTCATAGCTGAATAGGCTAGTAGGAGATGGGGCCTGGTGAGAGGAAGTAGGTTTGTGAGGCCTAAGGGCCAGCCTTTGAAGGGTTTATCTTTACTTCTGGACTCTTCCTCTGTTGCCCTGCCTTCTGCTAAGAAGGGAAATGCCCCATCTACCACTCATCCCCTGCCTTGATGTTCTATTTTATCACAGTTGGGCCCCTTAGCAATGGAACTAAGTGAGCATGGGTTGAACCCATGAGACCAAAATCAGCCCTTCATCCCTTAAGTTGTCCTTGTTGTTAACACTATTTTTCTAACTTAACTTTAAAAGCTATTTTTTTAATGTGTGTGCATTTATGCCTACTGGTTTGTATGCATACCACATGCTAGCAGTGTCTGGAGAGGTCAGTCAGTGTCAGATCCCCTGGAATTAGAGTTACAGGAAGTTGTGAGCTACATGATTAGGGTACTGGGAACCATGCTTCATCTTCTGAAAGAACAAGTAATCTTACCACTGGGCCATCTTTCTACAACAACCCAAATTTTTTTTTAATAGATATTTTGTCCCAGCAACTAAAAGCTCAAATGGCTTTCTTTGTTTTGTTTTGTTTTGTTTTTCCCAAGACAGGGTTTCTCTGTGGCTTTGAAAGTTCTTGTAGACCAGGCTGATCTCGAACTCACAGAGACCGGCCTGCCTCTGCTTCCTAAGTGCTGGGACTAAAGGTGTCCCTCTCTTCATCTCCCCGCTTCAAATAGTTTTCAGTGACAGCTTCAGACATGTTGTAGAGAAGCCTGGAAACATTTGAATTTTTTAGAAGCAGAAGTATATGATTATTTGTTTAAAGTGTCTTCATGGATCGCACCGTTTATGTTTTCATGCCAGCCTCACTTCTAGCTGCGTTTCTGCTGAAAGGACAGAGACTCAAACAAGTAAAGTACCTTGCAAAGGCAGACTCTATGTTCAAACACAGATGTGACTAGGCATGTCATATATTACCTATGCTTTGTCATCTTCCATTCATTTATTTAGGGTTTTCAAGACAGGGTTTCTCTGTGTAATAGTCTTGGAATTCATTTTGTAGACCAGGCTGGCCTCAAACTCATAGAGATCCACCTGCTTCTGCCTCCCAAGTGCTGGGATTAAGGGCATGTACTACAACCACCTGGCAATTTTTGCCTTCTTTTTGTTGTTGTTTTGTTTTTGTTTTATGTTTTTTTGAGACAGGGTTTCTTTTCTTTTTTTTTAAGATTTATTTATTATGTATATAGTGGGCACCAGATCTCATTATAGATGGTTGTGAGCTACCATGTGATTGCTGGGAATTGAACTCAGGGCCTCTGGAAGAGCAGTTAACTCTCTTAACCTCTGAGTCACCTCTCCAGGTCCGAGACAGAGTTTCTTTATGTAACAGTCCTGGCTATCCTGAAACAGGCTTTGTAGACCAGGCTGGCCTCAGACTCACTGAGCTCCATCTGCCTCTGCCTTCCAAGTGCTGGGATTAAGGGTGTGAGCCACCACTGCCCAACAATTTTTGCCTTTTTTAACTCACAATTTTGTTTCAGAATTTTCTTCTTTAAAATTATTTATTTATTTATGTGTGTGCACATTCCATAGTTCTCGTGAGAAAGTAAAAGGACAACTTTTGGGAACTGGCTCTGTCCTTCCACATGGGGTCCTGGGATTTGAGCTTCAGTCGTTGTGCTAAGTGACAGGAGCCTTTACCTACTGAGTCATCTCACCTGCCCTGATTTAAAGAGAGGGAAGAAAAAAAAGCTGAATTCATTCAAATGAGTCACAGAGGCGGGAGACATGGCTCAGTGGGCAAGGCACACACCTAGTGTGCACAAAACTCTGGGTTCAGTCCCCATCACCACAGTGAAAAATGGGTATGGTGCCACATGCTGGAAGTCCCAGCACTGGGGAAGCAGGGGTAGGAGGATCAGAAGCTCAAGGCTATTCTTGGTTATATTGCAAGTCTGAGGACAGCCTGGGCTATATGAGGCCTCCTTTCAAAAAGGAAAGAAAACTAAATAAACAAGGGCCAGTGAGATAGCTCTGCATGGAAAGGTGTTTGCTCCCAGACCTGATGACCTGAATTCCATCCTCAGAACGCATGGGAAGGATGGAGAGAACAAACTCCCTCAGGTTATCATCTGACCTGCATGTCTGTGCCATGGTGTGTGAGCCCCCAGACAGATAAATAGCAGGTGTCAAGATGTCATCAACACAACAGAATAACATTTGACTTATTTTGATAGCATCCCAGCACTCAGGAGGCAGAGGCAGGTGGATTTCTGTGAGTTCCAGGACAGCCTGGTCTACAGAGTGAGTACCAGGATAGGCTCCAAAACTACACGAGAAACTGTCTCTAAAAACAAACCAAAAAAGTTTTTTTTTTTTTTTTTTTTTTTTTTACAAAGTGGCAGAACTACCACCCTCTTCTAGGTATGTAGTCCCTTTGTTTCACACCAGAAAAGCATGCTTTGCACTGCAGAGAAAATTGGAGGCTCTGGGGGATGGATTCCTCAAAATCTGTAACAATTAGGAAGTGCTTTTCTTGTCAGGCATGGTGGTGACACACACCTTTAATCCCAGCACTAGGAAGGCAGAGGTAGGTGGATCTCAGTGAGTTTGAAGTCAGCCTGGTATACAAAGTGACGTTCAGAGCTGTTACACAGAAAAATCCTGTCTCAAAAAATCAAAAAATGTTTTTCTTTTCTTTTTTTTTTTTGAGACAGGGTTTCTCTGTATTGTTTTGGATGCTGTCCTGGAACTCGCTCTGTAGACCAGGCTAGCCTTGAACTCACAGAGATCCACCTGCCTCTGCCTCCCAAGTGCTGGGATTAAAGGCATTTGCCATCAATGCCCGGCCAAAAAAGTGTTTTTCTTAATAGCACTTAAATGACAGTAAAAGTCCTTTGTGATAATTGGCTAGGATTATTTTTCAAGTAACAGAAACTCAGTTTATGCTGGATTAAACACAACCCTTTCATATGCAAAGAAAGACTCCGGAAAAGTAGCTCCGGTTGGTGTGGAGGCTTATTGTGGAGGATCCCTGAAATCTTCAGATACAGCTTCTTGCATCCTGTATTGCTTCTGTTGGTAAGGTTACTTTTAGCCATAGCTCCAGTTATTTCTAACTTTGTCATAGGCAGCATGAAGAAAATGAGATGAAAAAAGCCCCTCTCTCTCTGTCTCTCTCTCTCTCTGTCTGTCTTGTTTCTCCCTTATAGTTGTTATCACAACATATTAGCTCCCATCTAGATCCAGCACTCTGCCTACCTGCCTCCTGTCATGCTCTCAGGCACGGCGACCATGCACTCTAACCCACTGGAACCATAGCCAAGCTTCCTAAGGTTCAAGGGGCTAACCAACATCTGAAAAGAATCTCCAGTGCAGACACCAGAAGTAATATACTACTTCGGCTTCCATTGAGTCACATTGATGAGCTCCTCTGAAGGAAAGTGACTGGGCCTGGCACAATGTTTGCAAATATTTGAACAGTCTTGTGCAAGCAAGAATCAAGTATGCCATGAAAGGTGTCCTGCCTAGTTTTGTGTGTCAAATTGGCACAAGCTAGTCATCCGAGAGGAAGGAACCTCAGTTGAGAAAAATGCCTCCATGAGATCCAGCTGTAAGGCATTTTCTCAATTAGTGATCAATGGGAGACGGCCCAGGCCAGGATGCCGTCCCTGAGCTGTTGGTCCTGGGTTCTATAAGAAAGCAGGCCAAGCAAGCCATGAGAGGAAGCTAGTAAGCAGCATCCCTCCATGGCCTCTGCCTCAGCTCCTGCCTCCAGGATCCTGCCCTGTGTGAGTTCCTGTCCTGACTCCTTCTATGGTAAACAGTGCTGTGGAAGCATAAGCCAAATAAACCCTTTCCTCTCCAACTCACTTTTTGGTCATGGTGTTTCATCACAGCAACAGAAACCCTAGCTAAGACTTTATCATCAACACTGAAAAGAGATAAGTTATGTAAACTTTTAGAATCAAAAGAAAATGCATATTTTAAAAACGCAATTGAAAGAAGAAGCACTGAAGAGAAAAGATATAGAATAAGAGAGAAAATCAAGTTATTAAGAGTGAAGAAGGGCTGGGTGTTGATGGTGCACGCCTTTAATACTAGCGCTTGGGAGGCAGATCTCTGTGAGTTTGAGGCCAGCCTGATCTACAAGAGCTAGTTCCAGGACAGCCTCCAAAACAATACAGAGAAACCCTGTCTTGAAAAACGAAAACCAAAACAAACAAACAAAAAAAAAAAAAAAAGGAGGAAAGAGAGGCAGGATTTTTACGGCAATTGAGGAACTGCTTTGAAGAGCTCAATACTAAATTGGTTTGTGTCCATGGGAGAAGGTGGGTGAGGAGTGGAAAGCAAAGATAGCACTCAGCAATGAGCTCAAGAAGCAAAAGCAAGAGCAGATGTTCCCAAGGTTCTTCTGGGAGGAGACAGATTGAACGGGGAACAGTGAGAAGCCCAGGGGCTGAAAGCCCCAGTCACCAGCGACCAGCAGCAAAGGCAGGCTCCGTGAACGGAGCAGGAGAAGCCTGCCTCCCGCAGCTCAACAACGCACAGGTCAAACTAGAGACTCCAAAGAGAAGCTCCAGAAACAGGAGACACCAGGAAACTAAGACTAACTATTTTTCGAAAAGCAAGAGAAGCAAGAGAAGATAGAGTCTATGCAGCAGGAGCACGGAAAAGACGGGGCTGGCGCAAGAAACTTGTGGGATGGGCCTTTGAAGACTTAGAAAAGGGTGCAGATAAAAATAAGCGAATGAGAGGAGGCACGACAAGAGAAAAGAAGGCCCTGTATGGCTATCTAATGTAGCAGTGAAAGGAAGAAATGGCTCAGGAGAAAATGGGACAGACCACTAGAGGACACAAAGGCAGAGAAGGTGGATGAGGAGGGTCAGGAGCCGGCACGTAGAAGGCAGGCAAGGACGGAACTCAAGAACGAGGGTATGTGTACAAGGAGACTCAGAGCTCCAGAAAAGCATAAAGAACTGTTATATTTATTTTATCATTTGCCTTTACTTTTTTAAATTTGTTTTTTACATTCCAATCCCAGTTCCCCCTCCCTTCTCTCCTCCCGTTCTCCTTTCCTAACCTTTACCCTTCCCACCTCCCATCTGCTCTTCAGAGAGGGCAAGGCCTCCCCTAGGATGTCAACTAAGTCTCTCCCATCACCTCGTTGAGATAGGACCAAGGCGCCCCTTCCCCCAGTCTGAGCAAGGAATCTCTCCATATAGAATGGGCTCCACAAAGTCAGTTTATGAATTAGAGTTAGATCTGGGTCCCGTTGCCAGTGGCTTCATATACTGCCCACGCCACACCATTGTCACCTGTGTTCAGGGGTCCTACTTCTGTCCTGTGCTAGTTTCTCAGTAGAGAGTGCCGACTCAGTGATCTCTTACTGGCTCTGGTCAGCTGGTTCTGTGAGCTTCCACATCATGGACTTGACTCCTTTGTTCATATTATCGCTCCTCCCCCACTTCAGTTGTACTCTGGGAGGTTGGTCCAATGGTTAGTTATAGATCTCCACGTCCGCTTTCATGTTTCTGGAAGAGGGATCTTGCTTCTCTGGGGTTGTGGATTGTAGCTGGTTATACTTTGCTTTTCAACTGGTGTTCACTTATGAGTGAGTACATATTTTGTCTTTCTGGGTCAAGGTTACCTCACTCAGGATGTTTTTTTCCTAGTTCTGTCTATTTGCTTGCAATTTTTTTTTTTTTTTTTTTTTTTTTTTTTTTTGGTTTTTCGAGACAGGGTTTCTCTGTGGCTTTGGAGGCTGTCCTGGAACTAGCTCTTATAGACCAGGCTGGTCTCGAACTCACAAAGATCCGCCTGCCTCTGCCCCCCGAGTGCTGGGATTAAAGGCGTGCGCCACCAACGCCCGGCATATTTGCTTGCAAATTTAAAGATGTCATTGTTTCTTACTTGCCTTTACTTTTTAAAAGTTAATTGTTTCCTCCTATTTATTCTCTCTGCCCACCAGCCCTGTCTATCCTTCTACTGCCTAACTATTGGCCATTCAGCTTTTTATTAGACCAATCAGGTGCTTTAGGCAGGCAAGGTGAAACAAATGCCGTGGTTAAAAAGCATTTGCAGTTGTGGGTCAGGAGGACCTGCATCCAGTTCTTAGCACCTACTTGGTCAACTCACACCCATCTATAACTCCAGCTCTTCTGGCCTCCATGGGCACTAGCACTCATGTACACACACACACACACACACACACACACACACACACACACACACACAGAGTAAATGTTTTTAAGAAGTTATTTCCTCAATGATTTCATTTTTGTTTTGTTTTGAGACAGAGTGTCATGTAGCTAGGCTGGTCTTCAACTCCTGGCCCCTTGCCTCTACCTTTCAAGTCTTGAGATTATAGGGAAACACCTTTACAACTAACTAGTCACCTTACCTTTTAGAGGTGCAGATTCTGCATCTTGCAGGAGAGGGAAAATGGTATGAGATTTCATTAGGGTACCTGTTACACTGTGGGTGTGACTTGCCAGTAGAATTCACGTTGAAGTTCAGTTGCTCACATGAGATGATTAAGAGGCTATGGGACCTTTAAGAGGTAGTTAGGTTATAGGGTCGCCACTCTCATGAAGGAATTAATAAAGTGCTATAAAAGTGGGTTAGTTGTGCAGTGGGTCAGTTGCTCTGCTCCTCAGTTCTGCACGCTCACTTCCTCCAGCATTCCATTGTTCACGGAGCAGCACACGGCCCTCAGCCCGATTCTGGAGCCATGCTCTTGGACTCTCAGCAAAGCAGAACAAGGCACCTCTCTTTTTGTTAGAAGTTGACTACTTTAGCAACTTTGTTATAGCAATAGCTTAGTTCATAGGTCTATTTCTACTTCCATGCCGTGGTGATGGCTAATGGATATCTGGTGTTTGCTTTCATTTTGCTTTTAAAGATGCTGCCTTTCTAGTGCAATGAGACTAGACCCCTTTCCAGCGTTTGTGGTCTATTCTGCTCACTTTCTAATGCTTGTCATATGATGCCACCTCCGTTACTCCAAAGACATTGACCTTCTGTGGTTTCCTTTCTTCTTTTAGACTTACCTTATCTTATGTGCTGTTTTACCTGTACTTACACATGTCTGCAGGGGTCAGAAGAGGCTACTGGATCCCCTGGAACTGGAGTTATGGATAGTTGTAAGCTAGTATGTGGGTGCTGAGAACTAAACCCTGGGCCTCTTCCAGAGCAGTCAGTGTTCTTAACCACCCAATTACAGAAAGTGCTCTTAACCACTGAGCCATCTTTCCAGGCCCACTAGTGGTTTCTTTTTTTTTTTTTTTTCTTTTTTGGTTTTTCAAGGCAGGGTTTCTCTGTATTGTTTTGGAGGCTTTCCTGGAACTCGCTTTGTAGCCACTAGTGGTTTCTTAAACTTTTTTTTATACAGGGTCTCACTCTGTAGCCCAATCTAGCCTTGAATTCAGACAGTGATCCCCTTGTTTCAGCCTCTCACATGCAGTGATTACAAGCTTCTGTCACCATTTCTTGAAGTTCTCATGGGCTTCTTTTGTGGAGTTGTTCTCTTTTCATTCATGTTTTCTTGACCCTCCCCCATCCTGCCATTTACAACCCCCTCCATTCAAAGTCATTAATACCCTCATGGCTTCTTTCTAGTACTTACCACTACAAGTATCCCACTAGGACTGGATGCTATACCAGAACAATAAGGTCTGACTTACATGATAGTTCCTGACTTGCTGATAAAATGAGTGACAATGTAGAAATAGGCCTCCAGAAACAGACTTCACACTTTGTGCCCGTTTAAAGGGGTTCCTGAAATATCACCTTTAAGCTTGGTCTCATCATTGTACAGTTATTTCACAGCCAGATGTGTGTTGGTTGCCTACTATGTGTCAGCACTGTGCTGGGTTCTGGGGTAAACAGGGCAATTTCTGCATTCGTGCAGCTTAAATGTGAATGCACTAAACCACAGAAGGAACAAGCCACCTGTGACCCGTGTGTCACATCGGTAGAATGGAAGTAATGCCATTTGCTTTTCCTTCCCAGGATCCACACCTACAGCACTGCACCCATGCCTGTGATTCAAATCTTTATCACAAACCCAGTTCCCTTTTTGGACATTTCCCAAGAGGCAACTGCTTAATCTGCCTGCTGAAAGTAAAGTCATTGAAAGCCAATCAGGGAGGCTGCAGATGTGGCCTTCAAGCTGCACAGCTTTGCAGCTGTTCCTGCACAAAGCTCGGATCTAGGATGAGGAGCTACCTTCCAGCTAGGACACAAATCCCAGCTTTAGTCCTTACTAGCTGGATGGTCTAGTAGTCAGTGGTTCTCAACCTTCCTAATGCTGCAAACCCTTTAATACAGATCCTCCTTTGTGCTGACCCCAACCATAAAATTACCTCATTGCTACTTCATAACTGTAATTTTGCTAGTTTTGAATCATAATGTAAATATATGACATGCAAGATATCTGATATTTGACTCCAAAGAGGTCGAGACCCACAGGTTGAGAACATCTAGATGCTATTTTGGCAGTACAATTACAGCTGGCCATTCTGTTTCAAAAGGCAAGAAGATCAAAGTAGAAAAGTTTTGTTTGGGGTGGAAATATGGCTCATGGAACACATACAAACAGGCAAAACGATAATATGCATGCAAATCTGTTTTTTAAAAGTGTAATCTTTCTACATTATAAAATAGCTACAGAAATGGAAAGTTGTGTAGGCTTATCTTTGTTTATTCTTCATGAGAAATGGTGACAGACAAGAAATATTTGAAGATTGAAATTTATTGATTTGAAAGTTAAATTTTAGCACAGTGGGACGGACACACAATCATAAGCAGGGTGGCTCTCTCTGCACTGATACAGAAAGATGGCCTTGGCATATTTAATATAAATGCAAAATGTCTCTAATTGATATCTTTGTGTGCATGTTCATGGTGGAATCACTTCAAGGGCAATCCACTAAATTCCTAGCTTTTTATTTTAAATTATACTTTTTTGGACAGGGTCTTTCTGCATAGACCTTGCTTGTCCTGAAAGTCATTATGTAGACCAGGCTGGCCTTGAACTCACAGAGATCCTCCTGCCTCTGCCTCCTGAGTGCTGGGATTAAAGGTGTGCACCACACTTGGCTCAAGATGCTTTTTTTAATGAGCATATATTCCACACAAAAATTGATTGCATTTTTATATATGTGCATTATCTATTTGGATCACATTCACCCCTCCATTATTCTCTGCCTCCTTCCCCTTCCTACCAACCCTCTCCTCTTCCCAACTTGTCACCCTTTCATTTTCCTGTCTGTTCATTAGGGTTTCTTATAGGATTATAGGTAGGGTTTGTTTACAGAAGCAGGGATACTTTACTAGTGACCACACCCATCAACCATTAGCTGCACACAAAGCCTCAGGGTGTGTGGGACTCCATGAGCCCTCCGGCTTCCATAACCGGATGTTGATCTGTCTAACCTTGCAAAAATGATCACAGATGCTATGAGTTCAAGATTCCAATAGTCATATCATACCAAGAAGTCAGTATTCAACCTTGTTCCCTTACTTCCTCTGTCTTTTACATTCTTTCCACCCCTTCTTCCAATAGTGCCCAGAGAGTTGTAGGGAGTGACATAAATTCCCCATTTATATACATTCGTCATTTACTCTCAATACTTTGACTTGTTAAGAGTCTCTGAAGTCACCTCTGACCACTGTTAAAAAGAAGTTTCTCAGGCTAGAGAGATGGTTCAGTGGTTAAGAGCACTGACTGCTCTTCTAGAGATCTTGAATTCAATTCCCAACAACCACATAGTGGCTTTCAACCATCTGTAATGAGATCTGGTGCCCTCATCTTGGCTGCAGGCATATATGCAGGCAGAATACTGTATACATAATACATAAATCTTTTTTTTTTTTTTTTTTAGGAGACAGGGTTTCTCTGTATTGTTCTGGAGGCTGTTGGTCCAGCCCGGCCTCGAACTCACAGAGATCTGCCTGCCTCTGCCTCCCGAGTGCTGGGATTAAAGGCGTGCGCTACCACCACCCAGCCATAATACATAAATCTTAAAAAAGTAAGTTATAGGCATATGCACATCACTATTTTGAAGGCAACTTGATGGATAAATCATTCTTATTAGCAAGACAACAGCAGTAGTTTTCTGCCTTGGGCTTATGACCTCCCTAGTCATGGGCTTTTGACTAGGTTTACAGTATCAGATGTGATTATTCTCCTGTGGTGCAAGCACCAATCCCATGTAGAAAGTGGTTGGTTATCCCCATAACACACCTGACACTATTGTACCAGTGGGCTCAGCTAGCCTAGCTGGTCTGTATAGTTGTAGCAATGGCCCACAGCCGAATAAGACTACTGATGACAGTTCTCATCAGCTTGCATAGCATCTTCCAGCACTATAAGATCTAGCTAACACATAGGAAATTTCCAGCTTGATTTCTTTATGTCCTGAGACCAAAGCCCTTAAGAAATAGTGTCTTACTACCTAGTTCTGGTGGCAACCAACAGAGGTGGCAACTGACTGGGGGCCTCAGGGAACTCCCTCACCAATAGCTCATGAGGTAGTCCACCCCTGGCATTGGGATTTTCATTTAATAACTTTTAGGTTTATTTTGACTGGCTTATCAAGTATTAGATGTTTTCCCTATATTGTGATGTATCCCAGGCTGGCCATGAATTCATTTTGCTGCTGAGGATGACACTGAACTTCTGATTTCTCCCCTCACCTCCCCAGTGCTGAGACTGCCCAGTTTATGCAGTATTAGGGATCAAACTCAGGGATTTGTGTATGCTGGGTTAGCAGTATCACCAGCATTTCTTGTTCTTCAAACTGATACAATCTAAGCAATTTAAGGATGACAATGGACAAAAAAACAAAAAACAAACACACAAACAATCACTTAGGTTTTTCCTCTACATGCTTTGGAGACCTCATGTCCAATTTTGGTTAGCATCACTTTGGAGAATGAATTCAGCTAAATTGGGAGCTTGGAGAGTCACGTTGAATAATGAGCAAGTTCCTCTGAACAGCCTTCCTTGCAACACTTGCAAGCTAAAAAGTAAGGCAGGGGCTGTCATGAGACCTGCAAGCTATTCATAACTGTGTCTCTAATGCAAGGGGAAAGAAAGTGAAAATAATGCTATTAGATCATTTGAGGATGCTGAATTGTCAGATTAAAGGCTTGGTTGCTAAAATCTGACACACCCATTAATTTTCAGAGATCACAAGTCAATCTACTTAATTGTAGATTGAAGGAAAAGCCTAAGTCCACTTTGACCTTCCCACACAGTAAACCTCACTGTACTCCCAAAGTAGAAATTCATAAGCCATGTCTTCTCTGCCTAATGTTTAAGAAGGCAACTTCAGTGATTCAATAGCTACAGTTTTGAAAAAAAAAATGCAACATAAGGTAGCTATGGGCGCTTACTAAGCACCTCTGTCTTGAACTTACTAAAGTGGGTCTTTGATCTTTCAGCTGGTATGCTCTATCCTTTTACTGTATTTCACCAGGTAGCAATTTTTCTGGGGCTGAAGAGATGTCTCAGTAGTTAACAGCACGTGCTCTTTCAGAGGTTCAGTCCCAGCACCCAACATGGTGGCTCACTATAGTCTGTAACTACTTCCAGGGTATCTGGCACCCTTTTCTGACTTCTGCAAGCCCTAGCCCATAAATGGTTGCACATACATTTGCAGACAAAACTCATACACATCTTGATATCAGTTTTTAACTGTTGCACCATAAATTCTTATCGTCTAGTATAATTGACTACATTCTTTATTCTTAGGTTTAAAAAACACTTTTAAGCTAAATAGCACATTCTCTGGGATTTTACTATTAGTTAACACATGCTACAAGCAAGGCCCGGCTCCTCCTAGAATTTCAGTTCCCAGGTCTCTAAGTTATGAAGTACTATGTTCTCTCACCAGATTTTTAGCCTTGTGGATCCTTCCTCAAGGTCAGCCATCTAACAACAGGGTTTATGCTAAAGTTAAGACTAAACTTCTCACTTCATCCAGCAACTGGTGGAAACAGATGCAGAGACCCACAGCTAAGCACTAGGCTGAACTCAGGGAATTTGGATGAAGAGAGGAAGGCCAATCAACTAACCGGGGCTCACAGTTCACACAGACTGAACCAACAACCAGGGAACCTCTATGGGACTGACTTAGGCCCTCTGCACATATGTGAGTTTGGTCTTCTAATGAGCCTCCTGCCCAGTGGAAGTGGGGGCTGTCTCTCTTTGCCTGACTTCTGGGACTCTACTCCTCATACTGGGTTGCCTTAATACAAGGTGAGGTGTCTAGTCTTACTACAACTTGATACAGCATAATTTGTTAGTATTCACAGGAGGCCTGACATTTTCTCAACAGAAATGGTAGAGAGATGGATGGGGTGAGGGGAGGCAAAAGGAAGGTTGGGGGAGGGGCTGGGAGGAGAGGAGGGAGGAGAAACTGCAGTCAGGATGTAAAATAAATAGACCGAAACAAAAAAATCAGAGGTGGTGGCTCATGCCCTTAATCCCAGCAGTCAGGAGGCAGAGGCAGGCAGATCACTGAGTTGGAGGCCAGCCTGGTCTATATAGTGAGTTCCAGGACAGCCAGGGCTTCACAGAGAAACCCTTTCTAAAAAACAAAACAAAATCTCTCCCATTATATTCTACTCTTAACAACAGTATCATCCCATCTAGTAGTCTGTTCTTAGATCCAACTTCCTTTCTCACTGTTCTTCTTTTTAAAAAGTCTATGTATGGGTGCTTTGTCTATATGTATACCTTAGCACCATGCCTTTGTGTCTACAGAAATCAGAAGAGACATCAGATTCTGTGGAACTGGAATTATAGACAGCTGTGAACTGACAATGTGGGTGATAAGAATTAAACTTCGGCCCTCTGGAAGAACAGCAAGTGATTGAACCATCTCTCCCATTTCTTGTCCTCTTCTGCTCTTCTTACTATAGTTTGCTGAATCTTCAATCTTGCTCAATTTAAGAATAAAAATGAATGATCCTCCTGCTTCACATTCCTGAATGCTAGGAATACAGGTATGTGCCTAGCAAGATTGTTTTATTTTGTTTTAAGAGATTAAACAAAGCTACAGGGCTAGAGCTAAGAAAAATACAAACCATGAAGGCAGTTAAATGCTTAAGGGAACTACTTAAGACCTTAAAATCAAGGAGAGATGGGTATCTGTCTAGAAATATGTGAATGTGTTCAGGGCAAAGTGGTACTTCTTCAACATCAAGAGTTTTGCTAGGCCGGGCGTTGGTGGTGCACGCCTTTAATCCTAGCACTTGGGAGGCAGAGGCAGGCAGATCTCTGTGAGTTTGAGGCCAGCTTGGTCTACAAGAGCTAGTTCCAAGACAGCCTCCAAAACAATACAGAGACACCCTGTCTTGGGAAAAAAAACAAAACAGTTTTGCTAGCGAACCCAAGGATGATGGAGAACCCATTAAAAACAGATTCATGGGCCGGGCCAACGCCTTTAATCCCAGCGCTCGGGAGGCAGAGGCAGGCAGATCTCTGTGAGTTCCAGGCCAGCATGGTCTACAAGAGCAAGTTCCAGGACAGGCTCCAAAACAATACAGAGAAAACCTGTCTCGAAAAACCAAAACCCAAACAAATAAACAAAAAAAAAAAAAAAAAAAAAAAAAAAAAATTCAGAAACAAAAAGTATGCAAGTACACGTTTTCAAGTATACAATTTGTTTTTATTTACAATACCCTATAAAAATGTAAATTTAGAAACTTTTATTTTTATTAATTAGAACTGAACAAAAAGCACAATAAGGAAGAAAACTAATCAAGTGTTTACTTGATCAGGTGTGAAGGGAAGGTAGGAAAGGCTCAGTGGAGACAGTCAGCAGATGGCAAAGAGAAGCTAGAGACCGTCACGGGGGAGCAGCTGGTGGAGCCTGAGGCCACAGAATGAGAAGAAATGGTGATGAGAACAAGGACAGCTGGTTGTAACGGAGGGCTTTACTGTTATACATGTATGTGCAAAACATTTATTCTCTTTAAATATCAGCCTGTCCCGACTACATTCAAAAAGGTGAGAAGAGCAGAAAGGAGGATCAGAACGGGAATATAAAATAAATTCAATTTAGTTTTTAGAACTGCAACTACTAGGGAGAAAAGTCCCTTATCCTGGCTGACTGCTGAAGGTAAGAAAGGTCAAAGGAAAGTGTCCCTAAGAGTCAAACCCAGGCCCTGGCTGCTAGTGGATAGGGCTCAGGCAAGACTAAGCAGCCAGGACACAGTTCTGCTGTAGGGTAGGGGAGACCGATGAGCAGAGCAGCCCAAGCTTAGCAGCCATGGAAGCTTCTACACTAAACGAAAATGGGGAAGAGAAGCAGATGCATGGCTTACAGAAGTCATGTCAGGAAGACAGTGCACGTGTGCAAAAGCTACACAGCAGAAGCAGGCTCTATGTGAGGCTCATCTTGGGTACTCTTGAATGCACTTGAGGGACAGGCTCAAGCACGCTGTAGTCATCACAGGAAAAGGCTTAACCGTGTGTGTGTGCTGTTTCCATTTCGGTGGTCAGGAACAAAGGAAATACAGTTAGGGAGAAAGAAAATACTTCTCAGCCTAGAGCTGGGCATCAGCCAATTAACAAGTTTGATTTAATGTAATGTGCTGTGTACCCTGTATTTATATGTTAAAAAAGTAGAATCCACCAAATTACAAGATGAACAGAAACAGACTAAAAATGTATCAGCTGGTTTATTTTTAGAGGTATATGTTAACTAAATATTTTTCAAACTAAAACTCATTCTTTAAGGACCCTCTGGAGACCACATGAATGTGTGTGTAGGGGTGTGTGCATATTTATCTATACCTTGACTTCTACTTAGTTTTGGCTCTCCTATAGTCATATTAATAAGGGAAGATGAAAAAAGACTTCAAAGGGTAGAGGGAACCTTTGGTGGACTACAACCTACTTTGAACTGTAATAGTGGTGATGGGATAAAGAGATATTATATTTGTGTCTCTAGGGCAAAGAAAATGCAAAATTGAGAAGAATTGAAAAGTAGGACATGCAAAGTGTAACACAGAAGATAAAAGAAACCAACAGAAGTATCACCCAGCAGAAGTATCAGAGCAGTGGGGAAATACCTGGCATTCAGAGCTAACCTCTGAAAACAGGTTGCTCCCACAAGACTTTCCTTTGGGTCATAAGCTACCTCCCCTCCCTCATTAAAAACACTCCATTGGTGATGGCAGCAGTGCAGGTGGCAGCCACAAGGAGGTACAGGACACACTGGAGATCTTTTATCGTATCCCCTGAACCAGCCTACGGATATGAAGAGAAAGACAACTTTTTGTATAAATAAGTTAAAATAGGATGAATCTTCTGCATCTTTATAAGAATTCTTATAATAAAAGACCCTAGGTATTTCTGTCCTCTCAGCTTTTGTCATTTTCTGAGGCACTGCTGCACAAAATACAGTGATTTGGTTCAGCATACATGCAAACATTTAATAGAGGTTTCAATCTCAGTCCCATTCAGCTGCATCCTCCCCACAGTATGATGTGTAAAATAACCAAGGAAGAATGTATGTGGAACTTACTGTAGTTTTGTCTCCAGCAAGTTCAGTTTCTGCCGGTCAACATAGCGAGAAAAAAGGGACACAAGATTTGTGGGTATAGAGATTGGCTTAGCCAGGGCCGCTTGGGGGATCTGTAGAAGTTCTCGGGTTGCCATGAACATCACCTCTGTCCTGACAGAGAAAATCCAAAACAATATGAGAAGTAGTAGGGGAAGAGAAAGGAGAGCAAAGATTATTTAAAAGAATTTAAAATAGAAGATAAACAATCAGTACTGACCATTGGTTATTTTGTGTTGATTCTATAGCAGGGTCTGAACTCTGTAGGTCTTCTCCACGGCTTAGAAGGATTAGTAGCAGTGACAGGCCAAACTGTAAGAGAGGCCAGATGGAATCAGATTTTCACAATGTACCTAAGTGGCTAGACAGATGGCTTACTGGTTAAGACATTTGTTCTTGTAGAGGATTAAGGTTCTGTTCCCAGAAACTAAATGATGGCCCATAACCATCCATTGATATTTACAAGGTACATACACATGCAGACAAAACATTCATACACATAAAACAAATCTAGCTGGGCCGTGGTAGCACATGCCTTTAAACCCAGCCCACGGGAGGCAGTGGCAGGTGGATCTCTGTGAATCTGAGGCCAGCCTGGTCTATAGAACGAGTTCCAGGACAGCCAGGGCTGTTACACAGAAAAACCCGATCAAAACAAAACAAAAAACTACAAGGGACTCAGCTGGTAGCATTTTTTTTCCTAGAATGTGCAACGTTCCAGGTCTAATCTCCATCACCATATAAACTTGGTGTGAAGGTGCATACCTACAACCGAGCATTCAGGAAGATCAAAAATTCAATTTTATCCTTGGCTGTGCAGGGAGTTAGGGACCAGCCTGGGATACATGACAATGCCTCAAAAAGCAAAACAAAACACATTAACAAAAATAAAAAGCAATATACAAAGAATAAACAAAATAATCAAAGCTCAAAAGAAATAAAATAACAAACCACCACCACCAACAAAAAACTCCTGGGGCAAGGAAGATAGCTCAGTTGTTAAAGTTCCTGAGCTTAGCTTGGAGTTCACAAAATGACAAAAAAGCTATATATGGTGTGTGCTTGTGATTTCAGCTCTGGGAGATGGAGCCTGGCAGATCCTGAAGTACATTGGCCAGCCACCATAAGCCAAATCAATAAACTTCAAGTTTAGTCAGAGAACTTATCTCAGAAAGCAAAGGTGGAGAATAATCAGAAAGACACCTAATGTTAAACTCTAGCCACGTGGCTTCTGCATGCACATCACCAAAAGGGAACGTGTGTGGACACAGAGTATATTCTTATCTGAAATGTAAAAAAAAACCCAACAACATGACTTTTTTTGTTTTGCTTTTTGAGACAGGGCTTTGTACAGCCTTGGTTATCCTTGAATTTAAGAGAGTCACCTGCCTCTGTATCCCAAGACTGTTGGGATTAAAGGTGTGTTCTACCATGCCCAGTGCAAAATAAACTCTTAAGGGGCATCAAATGAAAATATCACACAGCACTAGGTTAAATGTGTAAACCATACTCATAGAGGATAATCTTTTTTTTTTGTTCCACAAAATTTCCCTATTTGCTATTTGTAGGCAAATTTTCATCAGTTCATGATCTTGTATGACTTCCTGGTTTTCTACTGCTCTTATCAAAATTAAAACAGTGACTAACAGGAAGACCATGACTGGTCACTTGAGAACCTCCCTATATCCCCTGAGGGATACAGGTATGCTCTCCTATCTCTGATGACCTGTTACTGTTGGCAGGTAAGAGGAGGAAGAGGTCCTGAGCCTTCACCTCTATTGCTTGGTATGGCCCTAAACAAGAGCCTAGTATATACCAGGCACCACCTACATACCAGGACGACTGTGCAAAGCCTGCACCAATACTTGCACAATACACATCAGAAACCAGCTGAGCAAATACTCAGATCATAAAGCTGGAAAAGGGCAGGCAAGGACTGACACTGCCAGTTTAGAAACTCATGATCCTCTTTCCTTATTAGGTTTCCTCTAAGGGGCTTTGAACTAAAAAAGAAAAAAGCTCCCCCCTTTTGGAGGTAGGGTTTATGCCCTGGAACTCAATATGTAAACTAGGCTGGCCTTGAACTCAACAGAGACCCGGCCTGCCTGAGTGCTGGGATTACACACACACAAGTGCACCAAGTTTTGCTTTATCTTTGACATAACCGAAAGCTATATATAGCTTTCCTGAAGCTAGGTATGCCAATCCTGGTCACTGCTACTCATCAGAAGCTTGTTAGAATTTCTGGGGAAAGCCCTAACAAAGAGGACAGGTAGTTAACCTATACTTTAATAATCCACACCCAGCTTTGTTCTTCATGTCAAGACAGTTTTAACTTTCAGAACAAACCTGAAGCAGGAACCTCGAGGGTATGGGAACCTACAGTTAAAGAGGACTGGAATAATTGTAAAAAAGACTGGATGCTTGATGACCCAAATCTCATAAAGCTACAATAGTCCTAATTTTCCTAAGTCAATACAGATGTCATCTAAGTTAAGGACACTAATGGGCAAGACGACCTTGTTCTGGAGCACAGCAGTGAGGTGAGGATTGGAGGGTGCTGGTGCAATTGCACTTTGAGGTAGGTTCATTAGCTGTTGCAGAAGGCTGGTGACAGTCACTGAAGGAAGATGATAGAGCAGAAGAGAGAAGGGACTCAGTAAGCATGGCAGCACCTACGAAACATAAACAAGAACATTACAATTTACCAACTGTTCCTTCACTTACATCCATCCCACCAGTGGCTGTGGCCAGCAGGATGCTCACCACATACAAAATCATTATGATATTACTGTGTGCCAGGACATTTGGTTGTAATGGAAAAGCAGGATATAAACTTGACTCTCCCTTTTTCAGTTTCTGAGTTGAGTTACTGACCCAGCACTCACTGCAAATGATTGATATATTTTTGGTATCATTATGAACTCATTACAGAGAATCTAATTCAGTCTACTGCTGTAATTTTCCTTTCTGATGTTAAGTATACTTCTGGCAAACAGGAGTCTCCTCAAATAGGTTTGTGCATCTGTATTAGTTCCCTTGCCTCTGGTGTAAGGATTATATGTACTTCTCATACCTGGAGCCAGTTATTACTGCAAGAAAATCGATTCTAGAGGCATGGTAGATTACTTTTTAATTTACATACGTTAACAATACAGCACATGCATGTATACATATAAATAGAGATGGGGGAGGGAGGGAGAGAATGAACTACAACTCTACAAACACATATTTTTAGGCCGGCCTCAAACTTATGGCAGCCCTCCTGTGTTAGTGTCCCTAGTATGGGGAAATCAGGCATGAGTTACTACATGCAACTTTTCTACATAGTTAACTAAGTGTTTTTTACTAGCAAGTAAGCCCCATGAAGGTACTTTTGCATTCCTAGCTTTATTTCTATGATATAAAACAGTGCCTGGTATGCAGATGTATTCAGTAAGTATCTGCCAAATGTTAAGATTCTCCCAAACCTGCTTCATCATGAGATCATAACTGACAGAGTGCCCATTGCTCCATTCTCTTTTTGGCATTTATGCTTTAAAATAGGTATACCTGCGCCGGGCATTGGTGATGCATGCCTTTATTCCCAGCACTTGGGAGGCAGAGGCAGGCAATCTCTGTGATTCTGAGGCTAGCCTGGTCTACAGCCTCCAAAGCTACAGAGAAACTCTGTCTCAAAAAACAAACAAACAAACAAACAAAAACAGAAACAAAAAAACCAACCAACCAAACAAACAAAACGGAAAAAAAAAAAGGCATACCCTTTTACCCTGGCCTTTTTTTAAATTGTCAAATCTTTAAAATATCCCTCCATTCCATTTTTCATTCTTGGAATCTCTTAAATGTACTGGTTTTGGAGCTAGAGAGATGGGCTCGGCTTTTAAGAACACTTGTTGCTTTTATAGAGGACCCAGATTAAATTCTCAGCACCCACATGGTGGCTCACAAACCATAACTACAGTTGTAGGGGATACAATGCCCTATTCTGACCTCCATGGATATCAATCATGAACACAGTGCACATATACACGTGCAAACTATTCATAAGTAAAATTTAAAAAATAGAATGACTTAAAAAATGTATTTGTTTCATTCTGTTGCATTTTTCTAATGAGATCTAAATTTTTCATTCCTTTCTGTAAATGCCAAAATCTCAAAGGCTACAGTAGTGATTTTCAGCTCTTTGTGTTTTAAGGTATATAAGCATGTCTTCTGCACAGATAAGTGATGGGGGATGTCCTTCTGTATGCTGTGAATATATGTTTCTCTCACTGGTTGATGAATAAAGCTGTTTTCATCAATGGACAGGCAGGATGTAGCCAGGCAGGAAGATAGGTGGGGCTACCAGACTAGGATGATTCTGGGAAAAGGAATGCAGGGAGTGAGCTGCAAGGGAGTTGCCATGTAGCTACCAGGAAGACAGGATCTGCCTGGGCATTCTCTGGTAAGCTAAGACTATGTGGAGTTACATAGATTAATAGAAATGGGTTAATAATCAAGAGAGTGCTAGCCAATAAGAAGCCTGAGCCATCAGCCTAACAGTTTATAATTAATATAAACCTCTGTGTGTTCATTTGGGGCTAATGGACTGCGGGACCAGGTGGGACAGAAACTTCTGTCCACAAGTAGTTACTACTCAATTGGTAGTCAACTACAATGTTTCCTCACAAGCATCTCATTATTCTGAATCCCAGACTCAGTAATCCTATTCCTTTAGCAATTTCTTGTCTCAAACTTGAAAAAGTACAAGAAAATTGCCTAATCTTTGAAAAGTTATTACAAGTATATCCAGAGATCTTTTAACATTTACCTGTGGGACACCATTCAACCAACATGAAGCTAACATGAAGCTACTGACAATGGAGCAGGGATAGTTTACATTCACAAAAGTAATCAAAAGCCTAAGTTTTCCAACTTGAGAAGCGTAAGAAGAGTTGCCTTATATGGTGGGTACCTCATCTTGTGCGTCCTTCTTGATAAGGAAAGGTAGGTTCCTGGCAGTTGCCATAAGAATGTCAGCTGCTTGCTCTGTGGAGAGGAAAGGGAGAATGCGGGCAACCATTCTCTTCCCTTTTCGGATACACATGATCTGTACAAAGTGGTCATCGCTTGGCCTGCAAAAAGAATGCCACCTAATGTCAACAAGGGCAATACAGAAAACTCTTTTTTTTAAGATATGCAACCCTATCTTCACAACCATCTGTACTATCAATATTGAAGATTACTCTCCAGTTCCAACCAAATAATAAAAGATAAAATATTTAAGTTTTACAAATATGGAAAATTATTTCCCATATTATATGTAAAATGTGATCAAATTTAAGTAAAAACTAAATGGTAACTTATAAGTGTTAGTGCTCGCTTCGGCAGCACATATACTAAAATTGGAACGATACAGAGAAGATTAGCATGGCCCCTGCGCAAGGATGACAGGCAAATTCGTGAAGCGTTCCATATTTTTTTTTACATGGCTGCATACATAGAAAATGCCAAACAGGTTGGCCGCCTTGAAAACGCAATTGGCTGGTATCATAGCCACTCTGTTTATGGCTGCTGGCTCTCTGGAATTGATGTTAGTACACAGATGCTTAACCAGCAATTCCAGGAACCATTTGTGGCTGTGGTGATTGACCCAACCAGAACAATATCTGCAGGAAAAGTGAATCTTGGCGCCTTTAGGACATATCCAAAGGGCTACAAGCCTCCTGATGAAGGACCTTCTGAATACCAGACTATCCCACTTAATAAAATAGAAGATTTTGGCGTGCACTGAAAACAATATTATGCCTTAGAAGTCTCATATTTCAAATCCTCTTTGGATCGTAAACTACTTGAGCTCTTGTGGAATAAATACTGGGTGAATACCCTGAGTTCCTCTAGCTTGCTTACTAATGCAGACTATACCACTGGCCAAGTGTTTGATTTGTCTGAAAAATTAGAGCAGTCGGAAGCCCAGCTGGGACGAGGGAGTTTCATGTTGGGTTTAGAAACACATGACCGGAAGTCAGAAGACAAACTTGCCAAAGCTACTAGAGACAGCTGTAAAACAACCATAGAAGCCATCCACGGATTGATGTCTCAGATTATTAAGGATAAACTGTTTAATCAAATTAACGTCGCTTAGGTACCACTGAGTACTCTTCCTGAAAGTGAAAATGTGGAAGAAAACAAAGCTCTAATAACACTTTTAAACCAGTTAGCAAGACTCAGACTAGAAGACAACGGTGCTGTGCGGAGACCTGAATGTTAGCACTATAATAAAACTATCACGTGAAAAAAAAACCAAACAACAACAACAACAAAAAAAAAAACCAAAAAACAAAAGAACTTATAAGTGTTAACAAGGCACATGGAATTTATGTGGTTTTGTAATTTGACTTTTTTTCACTTTCCCTCCTCAGAATGGGGAATTGAGTCCAGAGCCTCCTGTATGCCTGCCAAGTGCTCTACCACTGATCTACAGCTATCTCCAACTTTTTAACCTCTTAAATACTTGTCTCTATCAAAAATATGCTTCAGTTAAATTCTTTTAATGGCTACATAACATGTCTATCTATGGATAAACCACAGCACCAAAGTGTGCTGTAGTCTATTCTTATGTTTGTATCAATTCAGGACAATCTGAGCGAAGAGAAAGGAGCTGTCAGCAGATGTAGTCCTCTTACATTACATATCTGGGATTTATAGGACGTTAATTATCTCAACTAGGTTTGCTGCAGACAATGAGCAGTAGAAAGATGACACAGAAAGAGTTAACATTCTTCACTGTAAGATGAACTAGCTTCCACATACATAACACTATAGAAATCCCAAGAAAGTACAAATGCTGGTAAGTGCTATTTTAGCAGGAAAGTAAATACATAAAGATTACAAAGTTGAACACACTAGCAATCATACTCCAGATAATGCCTCCCACCCCATCTGCAGCACTAGCACAATCCAAGTAGACACTGAATATACATTGCTGAATAAATGAATCCAAGAAAGAATTCAAAAGGATTATGGAATGTTTTACATGTAGTAGCACCCAAGTCTGGACAAAAAGATACTACAGTGGTGTGGTGGCCCATACCTTTAATAGCAACATTTGGAAGGCAAATGAATTTCTGACAATTCAAGGTCAGCCAGGGCTACACAGTGTGCCTCTGTCTCAAAACAAAAACAACAAAACTCAAGAAAGATGAATGCTAGGTTTATAGAAATGGAAGGACAGGGTACACCATAATCCCAAGTATGTGGAATTTAGTGGGAATGGAAGGGGTCTCCCATTTCCTTTAAGTGCACAATGCTTACCTTTCTTGTCCAGCCAATTTGCCCCTCAGGTTGTCATACATGCTACAGATTTTATGCTTTCTTTCATCCACCAGGGCAGGCCGCTCTTCTTCTAGACTTAGGAGATAGCGCCTTTCATAATCCTCCACATCAAGGAGCAAACTATAGGTCTAGGGGAGAGACAGAACAGGCCATAACATGCTAGGTCAGGACCCTGGAGTATTAGATACTCTTCTTCATAGTTTAGGGATAACAAAAATAAAAGAGTACAATTCAAACAAAATTAGTTTTTTAAAAAGGTGCTTGATTAAACACAGGGAAATATGGTAAAATAATAACCCTTCAGCCGGGCGTTGGTGGCACACGCCTTTAATCCCAGCACTCAGGAGGCAGAGGCAGGCGGATCTCTGTGAGTTCGAGGCCAGGCTGGACCGACAGCCTCCAAAACAGAGAAACCCTGTCTTGTAAAAACCAAAAAAAAAAAAAAAAAAAACCAAAACCAAACAAACAAACAAAAAAACCCTTCAAACATCATTCTTTCTCTTGGACTAATAGTCAGGTAGTAAAAACAGTGAAGTAATTATGTTTTCCAAATTTCCTAGCAGCAATGTTAGGCTGAAACACCCAACTTTCATAACAGTGCCACCAGTGTCACCTTCCAGTAGTGGAGAGAGGGAGAGAGAGAGAGAGAAAAGAGAGGGAGGGAGAGACACAGAAAGTGTATACAGAGGCCAGACCTTGACTGTCATGTGTTTTCCTCCATCTTTCAGTGCTTTCTGTACTGACCCAGCATCTCCCACCTGAACCCAGAGATTGCCAATTAGGCTCAACTAATTAGCCAAATTGCTCAAGGATTCTGTCTCTGCCCCCTGAGCACTGGGAGGGCTGTCATACCTGTCTAGTATTTATGTGGGTGCAGAGGATGCAAACTCTGTTCTTCAAACTTATACAGGAAACATTTTACTATCTTCTCCAGCCCTGATATCTTTGAGATACGGTCTCACTATGGAGCTCTTCTGGAATTTACTATGTAGTTCTCACATTCAGAAACTGCCTTTGTGATTAAAATCACCACACTGGATTCCTGCCCTATGTTGCTAACCAGGCAATTTTTCTTTTCTTTTTCTCTCCTTTTCCTTTTTTTCATTTTTGTTTTTTTTTGGTTTTTCGAGACAGGGTTTCTCTGTATTGTTTTGGATGCTATCCTGGATCTAGCACTGTAGACCAAGCTGGTCATTTTTGTTTTTGTTTTTTTTTTTTGTTTGTTTGTTTAATTTATTTATTTATTACATACACAGTGTTCTGTCAGAAGAGGGCACCAGATTGAATTGTAGATGGCTGTGAGCCACCATGTGGTTGCTGGGAATTGAACTCAGGTCCTCTGGAAGAGCAATCAGTGCTCTTAACCTCTGAGCCACCTCTCCAGCCCCATTTTTGGTTTTTTTGAGACAGGGTTTCTCTGTGTAGCCCTGGCTGTCCTAGAACTAGAGATTCACTTGCCTCTGCCTTCCAAGTGCTGGGATTAAAGGCATGCACACTCACAATAAAAGGCCAGGCAAGACTTTTTTTTAAAGATTTATTTTTTATGTACACTGGGGGTTTTGCCCACATGTTTATCTGTGTGAGGGTGCCAGATGCCCTGGAACTGGAGTTACAGACAGTTGTGAGCAGCCACATGGGTGCTGGGAACTGAACTCAGGGTCCTTTGAAAGAACAGTCAGTGCTCTTAACCACCAGCCATCTCTCCAGGTTGACCAGGCAATATTGTAAAGTTAACTTTACTCCCAATGTTAACCAGTCATCTAGCACTTTGCACATATTCATTTGCAAACTCAATCCCAAAACAAAACTGCTACAATCATCTCCATGAAGAAAATGAGGACAGCATAAAGATTAAATAGCCAGCTTCAGGTTATAGACTCAGAAAAGGGATAGTTTAAGCTTGTGTTCTAAACTGCTGTGCACTAAGTAGTGTAGAATGGTATTATGTATATGGTATTGCACTGTTATGTGTGCTTTACAGACTGTCTACACATACTGTCTCATTTTCCTTGGCACACAAGGAATGCCTAATAAATGCTGTAAAACTAAATTAGTTCATGTAACAACAAAACTTTTTTATTCTATTTTTACTAGGCTCAACATGAACTGGGTAGAGGAGATTACTCAGTTGGTAGTGTTTGCTGTCAAGCCTAACAGCTGAGTTCAACTCCCGGAGGCCATGTGTTGGAAGGAGCCACTGTTGTCTCCCTCAAGTTATCATCTGACTTCTACACACAAGTTGCAGCAGACACCAACACCCACACACAAGATAAATAAATTTACATATATAAAAAAGGTGACCCGCTCAAAGATAATTATCACAAAACTCCACTGCAGTGTTCTTTCCAGGATTCCACAGGCATGGTGTAGCACAATCATTTCTGGAACACTCTGGTAAACAACAAGCACTTAACAAAAGTCAATTCTTAGGTAATATAAGAGACAGTGGGCCAGTGAGATGACTTAGCAGGTAAAGGCACGTCCCCCCAAACACGACAATCTGCGTTAACACCTCAGAACCCACATGGTGAATGGAATGCAAAAACCCACCCCTACAAGATATCCTCTGGCATGCATGAACAATGCCACATCCAATCATAAATTGTAATTACAAAAAGAAAACCAATTAAAAAAAATCAAAGAACGCCGGGCGGTGGTGGTGCACGCCTTTAATCCCAGCACTCGGGAGGCAGAGGCAGGCGGATCTCTGTGAGTTCGAGGCCAGCCTGGTCTACAAAGTGAGTTCCAGGACAGCCTCCAAAGCCACAGAGAAACCCTGTCTCGAAAAACCAAAAAAAAAAAAAGAAAAAAAAAATCAAAGAACACTGATTTAAGCCAGGTGGTGGTGGTGCATGCCTTTCATCTCAGCATTGGGAGGCAGAGGTAAGCGGATCTCTGTGAGTTCAAAGCTAGTTTACAGAGCTAGTTCTAGGACGGCTAGGGCTGTTACTCAGACAAACCCAGTCTCAAAAAACAAACAAAACAAAACAAACCAAACAAAAGGACACTGATTGACTGGTCACTCTTCTACTTCTTAGATATATATTTGCTAGCTCTTTAAAACTAAATATAGAAATAAATTCTATTCTTACTTTCTCAATGATGACAAGGGTTTTTCTTCTCTTGTCCCGAACTTGTTTTTCTTTTGTTTCCTAAAAAAGAAAAAAGGTTATTCAGTGTAAATGCTTTACTTCTACTGAGAACATTTTATCAAGAATGCACCTTTAGGTTCACTGGTAAAAATACCCAACACTCCAGATTCCTTAAAAAGTTAATAATCCAAAATAACAACAGTATGAAACAAAGGTCATTGACTGAATCAGCTCACAAATCATTAAACTAAATTAATAAATCTAAAAAACACATAGAAACAGTTTTAAGTAGTAAACTAGGATGATACTTGCAGCCAGAAGTATCAGATCCAAAGACTTCTGCTATTGCAGGTCCTGGCTGGCCTCCTTATAAATAAAGGAATTAGAGCCAGGATTGCTCAATTGGTAAATAGTGCTTGCTATATGGATGTAACTGACAATTTGTATTTAATTCCTGTGGTACTTGTTGCAAGGAGAATAACTCTCTAGAAAATTGTCCTCTGACTTCCACAAGTGCACCATGGCATGTGTGACACACACAATTTTTTTTTTAATGAAGGCATTATATTTCAGTATATGTGTGAAAAACCAAAAAGTCAGGACACAACAGGTCAGTTTAAATTACAGACAATTCCACTATGCCTCCTCTCATTCCAATGATTGCAAAATGAACACCCCATTAGCTGGCACTTACATCATCCTCACTCCGAGATGTCACAACAGCATCGATCATCTTTCGAGGATTATTCACACTAGAGACAGTAAGCTTACCCAAAGAGCCCTCAAACTGCACTGCAAGGACAAACAGAAAAAAAAGAAAAAGTAAAAGACTCCAGTAAAGACTTGGAATACAGTAGAATATAGTAGACAGCATTC